TGGCTGACACCTGGGAAAGATTGATAGACACTTACTTTTCCTCTAAGCCTACATGAAGGCTGCACTTCCAGTACAAACCAGTACCGTCAGAACACTACACCGAAACAGGCTGCCAACAAGCATTTGACAGACTTTAGAGGCTCTTTTCAAAATAATTGTTTGTATGGGTAACGTCAACTTTAATAATTTCTTAAGGTGACTAAATATGAACATAAACAAATGACACCAAAACTTCCTTCAAATTCTATCTCCAGGAGGGGCTAATTCTTCTAGGAATACTCTATTGTTCTACTGTGATTAAAATTGGATTTTAAATTCATGAAAAATAATTTCGGATAGATTAAGCAAAATTAATGAATTTTTAGAACTTATGTCCCTCCTGTTAAGAGGGCTGGACAGACAAGAGTGAGGCAGTTACTTATCTATTCCGCACCTGATTTCTACCTTTCCTTCCCCAGTAGCTCCCATTTCTACTTCCATCAGGTGCTTGGACTTGTTTTGATATCCTTCCTCTCTTAACACAAAAATTAGTCTTTGACTCCTTTATTCCCTCCACAGAATGCATAACTTAAAAAAATCATTATTCCTTCTAAGGATGTTTATAATATGAGAATCGAAGTGACATAATGCATTACATAGTCCAACCACCTTGTTTTTGTCCTCATTTGCATTTTTACATACTAATGTGATGACATCACTCCCTCAGGCAGCCTCTTCTCCTTGCAGGACCCTCGGCACTGAAGAGCAGGGTCTTGGGACCTGCCTGCCCACTGCGCTCCCTGTAGTGAACCCTCCTCCACCTGGGCCACGCTCACACTTGCCTCTGCTGGTGCAGACATCTCCTTTCCCGTGGCACATGCATGCGCGCTCGCTGCCTCCCGTCTCACTCCTATGTCTTCATTGCCAATGCACTTATATGTTTCTCCTGGGACAGTGAGCAGATTCTCATCTTGCAACCTGTATCGCCAGCCCAGCCCAGCCCAGGCAGGGCCTGGCTCAGGGTAAGTACAAAATCAACAAAGCGAATGAAGGAAGCTAAAGAGCTGGAGTGCTAAGGGTAGAATTTCAGGGACCAGCCAGCAGAACAATATCATGTAAGGACTGAGGTGTTGTTTCCCCCAAAACTGAACCTCCCAAGCAGCTGTGTAATCTGCCAATGCTTTTTATCACCAAAAAGAACTGTCCCTTGCCCTGGCCGGTGTGGCTCAGTTGGTTGGGCATCATCCGTGCACCAAAAGGTTGCAACTTTGAGTCCCAGTCAGAGGATATGCCCAGGTTGTGGGCTGGATCCCTGGTAGGTGCTGTGCAGGAGGCAGCCAATCGATGTTTTGCTCTTGCATTGATCTCTCTCTCTCTCTCTTTCTCTCTCTCAAAAATCAATAATCTCTATAGTTTTTAAAACTGTCCCTTGTTTAGTAAATGACACACACTTGCAGGGCATTGGCTAAGATTGGTTCATCAGTCAATCAATAAGTATATTTTTTATTATCATGTGCTGTATATACCACTAAGTAATATTGTACAGGGTTGGGCAGTCTTGCCTCCCCCACTAGACTGCCCTGACATCATCGCTTCATGCACACTCTGTGCTCTTGGCTGAATGAAAGAGCCTGTCTAGCCTGGGCTGACTCTCTGCCCCCTAACCTGCCTTAACGTCTTCAAGCAACGCTGACAACAGTACACCTCTGCTGTATTGACAGTCTCCCCCTCTGTTGTTCTACCTCCAGATACTTTCCTATTGGACTTCAGTGAGCAAGCAGATGAGCTAGAAGGATTAGGAGGGGGTCGATGGAAGCTTTGCCATATTTGTAGTCCAGGGACTGGTAACAGAACAGTGGTCTGGAAAGGCATCAGAGCCGGGCGGTTAAAATGGCAGCTCTGCAGCCTTCTGTGATCCTGGGCACAGCAAGCAATCTTTCCTCTGCTGGGAGAATGGGCCTGACGACTCACAGAGCTCACAGAGGAGACAGTGCAGTGCGAGTGAATGGTCCTGGTTCGAGGTAAGTGCTCTGCCATTGTTTATTTCCATCCCTAAAGGAGACACTTCGTATCAGAGCTGAGTTCCTGGATTAGGACTTGTCCAGGTGCCAGTGGGCATTTAGCAGTGGACCAAACTTATTTTCTCTAAGGCTCCCCCTTTATTTCTTTCCTTCACTGAGAGAACAATAACCTTCCATAACTTAAGGCTCTACTCACAAAACCTCAAAATCCTCCTGGAAAACCTGTACGGTGACTGCACCCACCTGCTAAGAGTGTGTGGTTTCTCCAAACTACATTTCTAAGAACTAGCAAGAGTCTATTCCTAAGTTTTTTGAACTGTTGAGTTTCCAACTGTATGCTCTTCAGGGCAAGAACGCAGCCCCTTTATCTTGTTATTGTTGTTGTTCAGCTGAACTTCCATTGTAAGGAAACTTAGACATCCATGACACTTTATGAATAATGAACAATGACTGTAACCTTGCCAGAGCGGGCAACTTAATCAGTCCAGCTAAGATAGAGTTGTGTGTGTGTGTGTGTGTGTGTGTGAGAGAGAGAGAGAGAGAATGAGAGAGAAAGAGCCCTTGCCGGTTTGGCTCAGTGGATAGAGTGTTGCCCTGTGGACTGAAGGGTTCTGGGTTCAATTTCTGCCCAGGGCACGTCCCTCAGTTGCAGGTTCTTCCCAGGCTTCTCTCACATCGATACTTCTCTTTGTCTTTCCCTCTCTCTTCACTCTCTCTAAAAATCAATGGCAAAATATCCTCAA